TAATTGCAAACTTTGAGTTCTGTATATAATTGTATACATTTACGTATATAAATCATACTCATGTAGCTGGAGGTCTGCAAGGCTGAATGTTTGATTTCCAGCTTCTCCCCACCAGTCTTCACCTACTTCCTTTATCCCATATCTTCTTAAAGGACCACTCTAGGCACCCAGACCACTTCAGCTTAATGAAGTGGTCTGGGTGCCTGGTCCAGCTAGGGTTAACCCATTTTTTAATAAACATAGCAGTTTCAGAGAAACTGCTATGTTTATTAATGGGTTAAGCCTTTCCCCTATTCCCTCTAGTGGCTGTCTCATTGACAGCCACTAGAGGCGCTTGCGTGCTTCTCACTGTGATTTTCACAGTGAGAGCACGCAAGCGTCCATAGGAAAGCATTGTAAATGCTTTCCTATGCGACGGGCTGAATGCGCGCGCAGCTCTTGCCGCGCGTGCGCATTCAGCCAAGGAGGAGGAACGGAGGAGGAGAGAAGGAGGAGAGCTCTCCGCCCAGCGCTGGAAAAAGGTAAGTTTTTACCCCTTTCCCCCTTCCAGAGCCGGGCGGGAGGGGGTCCCTGAGGGTGGGGGCACCCTCAGGGCACTATAGTGCCAGGAAAACGAGTATGTTTTCCTGGCACTATAGTGGTCCTTTAACGGATTCCAACATTTGCCTCCATGCTAACACATACATTGAACAATCCTCTCCAAATACTGCCCTGTGACCATCCCATGACTGACCTCTAACCCCCTCCGTTATCTAATTTAACTCTTCTTGTCTGTCTCCCTCTCAGTATTCCTATATGCATTTTCACTCAGACAACTCAAATTGTTTCAGCTTCAATTGATTGTCTTTATTGAGATGATTCTCTAACATTTCATAGTGCCCTACTGCAATGGAACCTTGGCAGGTGTTTTGTAAGCTAAGAGCTAGACTGGGATACTGCCTATTCTTTCTATATCTGTCTCAATGCAGTACCACCATGGATAGTTACACTATAAACTCTGAAGGAATAAGTACACTGCCAAACACTGGATCCAAGCATTTTCTTCACTGCCTACAATGATTTACCTATTATTGACATTTATAAAGCGCCAAGATATTACGCAGTGCTATCAACTAATGTAAATGGTTGCTTTTTTCATAAGAATATTACAAGAATCAACTTTCTCACTTTACATTTTTCACACACAGTAAACTCTGGCTAACGCAACTTCCATATATTGGTGTACCTGATTTATGTACATGTACTTTCAATGCAGAGGATTCATTTGTATACGACTCGAGGCAAATTAGTGGTGATGGGGCCCCCATTCAGTCCTCACATAGCAATATTGAATAGGGACAAGTAAAAAAATGGTTCTGGGCCCCAGACAGTTGTCTATGGTCACCTTTTGATTAATTCTGCTCTGATTCAATGAGACAGGGACCTCCTGTAACAATCCATACATAATGACAACCCTGCTATATTGTCTGTATAATTACTGCACATTAGTGTAATGTATCATGATAAGTCCTAAGTAAACTATACAGCTCTATAAATAAAACAGACGTACATATACTTTATATCTATAGGAATTACTGAAGCATATCTGTACTGTAATGTAAACTGTAAAGTGCTAAACACATCTGTTAGTGCTATAAAAATAAAATATAGTAACGTGCACACATAAGTGTCCAAGATTAAATGGATGGTTAAGGGTAGCGGTCCTTAGCTCAGCTTGACAAGAATATTGGGATTTGTAGCCTCAAAGGGACCTTGAATAACATTAAATGCTTTGGTGGTCTGGTGGTCACAAATGCATTGGATACATGTTTAACATTTTACAGATATGCATAGATACAATCATTTACACAGAGGTACTGTGTGTCAAACATGCAGATCTGTCAAGGTTGCACAGATCAACTGTTCAGATTAGCTTCATAACAAAAAGTGAGGCTACAAATCTGCTTTCCAGCATTTTTTCATTACACTTCTACTTATATGTCAGGATTTTTATCCTTAAAGGAAGAAATGGAGTCTAGAGAATCTAGTTCACTACACTGCCTAATCTAATCTCTACATCCCTTAATCTATGAATTAAAGGAACATGCCAGCATTTTAAAAACATACCATGTTAAACATTATTTAGATGTTGCCCCATCCCCTTGTTCTTCTAAAAAAAAATAAAAAAAAAAATAGATGAGTTATTTCTAATTCATTGACAGGATCACTGACAGGATCCATCATTGCAGCTCCGATCCACCTCCAGGAGGTCATCCCTAGTGATGATCTTCTGGCCAATCCACTGGGAGGCAGGGTGAATACACTGTAATGCTTCTCACAGATAAGCAGTCAACCAAATGCTTTTCTATGAGGAGCCATCCAACCTGCTTTGAGTGCTTGGGAGAGGAAGGGCATACTGACAGCTTTCTGGTTAACATCTGGGAGGGAGAAACCCAGGAACCTTATATAAAGAGAGAAGGGACATTCTGTTAACCTCTAAAGAATTCCAGTAAGCTGAAGTGCTTTAGAGGCTTGGAGTGTTCCTCTAAACTCCATGAGTGGTTATTTTGCCTACAGTCTCTGGGCACCATCCCCCCAGTTTCTTGTCAAAACTCATGTGTGGTTTAACAAAAATCAGGACTCTCCGTGGCATCCATAGCAGACCCACTTCCTCATATTGATAACACAGAATTTACACTTATGCATTATCAGTGTCAATTAGGCCCAACTTGGGTGGTAGTGACTGGCTGAGTGAGGCGTGTTATCATATTTTGATCGAATTGATAGCGATAATGTGAAAGCATTGGTTTTTAGGTGCCATTCATTAGCCTATCTTTTCTAAAACCACTCCTAAATGGTTTGATATAAAAAATAGAGAACAACACGCTGGCATTCTGAGCAACGTAGCAACTGCCCCGAGCTGTAGCGATTATGTTACTTGTAGTGTTCTTATTAATTGGCAGAGCTTCTTCCATAGAAGTCATGGGGTCAACTATGAGACCTAAAATCTTTTAATGTTGCTTTCTACAAGCAGAGTTTTATTGAAGAATACAGTATGGCACTCACTGACCTATTGACAAAGCCCTGAAAAAAGCACTTGTTTGGTCAGTTTTTAAGTTCAGATTTGTATCCTGTTGCATAACATGGGCCAATTTCATTCTTTGTAAAAAAAATAAAATAAAAAACTCTTGGGGGAAAAAAGAACTGAATTATTAAAATTATATTAATAAGGATGCACTGTTATTGAATATATAAAGAATTAAGAGTGAAAACAATACACGAAAAGCAGGCATACTGTATCTTTTAACGTAATGGAAAATATAAGTTTCATGCTGGAAGGGTTCCTGCCATTTCTGTATTGGTTTCCGTTTAAGCAACCCTAAACATAAAATAATTGTATTGTAAAAATTACATACACACAAACACACACACACACACACACTCACACACACACACACACACACACACACACACACACACACACACACACGTGACTTTGCCTCATGTAACTGTGTTGCTTTGAGCTCTAACTATCATTTACCCCTAATGCAACCATAAAAAAACCTCAAAACCTTAAAAAAAATAATAATAACTAATGCATGCTCCTAAAACATAACAGTTTCCCGTTAATTGCACAGATAAGAAAGATATACTACGCATCCCCCTTTTAGGGATTCATAAATAAATTACTTTGACGGCTCACTCCAGTTTGTTTATTACAACTATCAGCTAACATTTCCTACGGATTTCCAAAGTGGAACACACAGAGCAATATTTAGAAAGAAAGAAAAAAAACGACCACACTCAAACCGAAATAAAACAGATGACAAAGACAGTTTAAACCAAGGGTACACATCAACCTTGGCCCTCCGTGCAACTCTTGTAAATCTCTTACTCTTCTTGGATTACAATTCCTACAATTCTAAGGCTGAGTCAGTAGCTCATCAAGAGGTATGACAGCCAACACATCTTTAAATTCACATCTATGAGAAGCACACATGTACATAGTGATATCTCTCTTTCATTCTCTCCATAGGCGTGCGCAGCCTATTGCATTAGGGTGTGCACCCTAAAGCACAAACACACGCTGCATGTATATGTATGTATGTATGTATATATATATATATATATATATATATATACACACACACACACACACACATAGATACACTGCTGTGTGAGGGTGCTGTTGGTGTGATGCGTGTGTGAGGGTGCTGGTAGTGTGCTATGTGGGTGAGGGTGTTTGTGTGTGTGTGTGTGTGTGTGTTTGTGAGGGTGCTGTTAGGGTACTGTGAGTGTGCTGTGTGTGTGTTTGTTAGGGTTCTGTTAGTGTGCTGTGTGAGGGTGCCGTGTGTGTCGTGTGTTTGTGAGGATGCTGTTAGTGTGCTGTGTGTGTGAGGGTGCCGTGTGTGGGTGTTGTGTGTTTGTGAGGGTGGTGTTAGTGTGCCGTGTGTGAGGGTGCTGTTTGTGTGCCGTGTGTGAGTGTGCTGTGTGAGGGTGCTGTTAGGGTACTGTGTGCGGGTGCTGCCTGTGTGCGGGTGCTGTCTGTTTGGGTGATTTGTGGTTGTGGAAGTGGGGACAGATTAGTTAATAAATATCCCCCCTCCCTTCTTACCTTTTGTAGGGAGGGGGGATCCTGCTGCTGCCTTTCCTGGTGGTCCAGTGGAGGTGGGGATCCTTGCTGCTGTGATCCATGGTGGTCTAGTGAAGAGTGAACTCTAGCCTGCGGGGCTAGAGTTCACTCTCGCGAGATTTGAGCACCATTTTTTAGCTCCCCGGGTCCTCTCCTCTCCTCTCCTGCCTCCCTCCCTGCATGTGGGCCAGTGGGGAGGGAGGCGGAGAGCAAAGCCAGCGCTCGGATAGCGCCGGCACTGCATGAGCCGACAGGGGGGATGCGGAGATCTCCCCTGCCGGTCTCACTCCATAGGCGTGCCGCAGGGATTAGGGTGTGCCCAGGCACACCCGCACACCCCGTGCGCACGCCTATGCTTCCCAAAAACAATAGTGTTGCGTTTATAATTTTGTCTAGTGTGTGTGTGTATGTATATATATATATATATATATATATATATATATATACACACACACACACACACACACACACACACACACACATATATATACACACATATATACACACACACACACACACACTAGACAAAATTATAAACGCAACACTTGTTTTTGCCCCCATTTATCATGAGCTGAACTCAAAGATCTAAGACTTTTTCTATGTACACAAAAGGCCTATTTCTCTTAAATATTGTTCACAAATCTGTCTAAATCTGTGAGCACTTCTCCTTTGCCGAGATAATCCATCCACCTCACAGGTGTGGCATATCAAGATGCTGATTAGACAGCACGATTATTGCACAGGTGTGCCTTAGGCTGGCCACAATAAAAGGCCACTCTAAAATGTGCAGTTTTACTGTATTTGGGAGGCCTGGGGGAGAGTCGGGGGCTGCAACATGAGGTGATGGTTGTGGATGAATGGCACAACAATGGGCCTCAGGATCTCCTCACAGTATCTCTGTGCATTCAAAATGCCATCAATAAAATGCACCTGTGTATGTTGTCCATATGACTACCCATACCATAACCCCACCGCCACCATGGGCCACTCGATCCACAATGTTGACATCAGCAAAACGCTCAGCCACGCTGTTTTATCTTGTTTATATAAGGAGATCAAGCAAACATCTTCATAACTGTAAACTTTATTTAAATGACCACCCATACTCCCACAATGCAAGAGCCACTTCCTGTCTGTACCATTGTGCACATAACAGGTTAGATATGGTTCGTACCAACTTTTAATCTCAATATCACACATTTCCCTTTTTCTTTTAAACAGAAAACCTAAAGTACAAATGTATTTTAAACTGTATTCGATGTGAAATAACTTCAGTCTCTTTTAACATTGTTCAATGAGACAATTAGGTCTTTTAAAATATATCGACCTGACATTGTTTGCTTTGCATCACTAGCAGGCAAGTCATTCAAGCTTTGTAAAGTTTCTCTGGCATCTTCATTCTCCAGCTGCAATGGAGTGTTCGATGTATCTTCACAGGTTTCGTTCACTGTGAAATTGTTGTGATCTGATGGAATGGCCATGGCATGCACTACTGGACGAGAACTTTATTTTAGTTGTATTTTATGTTGCATTGGAAGACATCCGATTCCTTCAAAAACTTCAGCATAGTCCGTTAAATAAAGTTTCTATGTCCTCTTCTTTATTTGTTCCATCAATGGCATTTACCCTTTGAATCAGGCCTAAGTGCATATATGTTTTCTTTGGATGTATATTTCGCAGGAAAATTTCATGGAAGAGACTAGTCAATAACTTTCAATGTTTAAGAAAGAAAAAAAAAAAAATTGCCTCGATATGATTTGGGAGGCCAAAAATAACTAGATTTAAAGTTTATGTTAAAGGTATGCAAAAACCAACACATGCCTGTCCAGAAGGAATTTAGGAGGTAAACAGTGTCCTGGGTGTTAGATTAATAGGCGTGACCATAATAATTTTGAAAATGTACACACGTCCAACAATATGTTTAAACATGCAGATTCGGAGACGTGATACATTTTAAGAATACAAATATTTGCTGATTGCAAGGAAGGTATTTATGAAAAAGCCTGTGAGGTCTGGAAAGCTACGTGCCCAAGAATTTTGTATATGAAGAGCTCTTAAACGAGTCCAGTAAACTCATGAGAGGCTGTAAACAAACTACTTGTGTAAGATTCTGCTCGTGTTCAGGCACCGTGTAAATGGCAATTCACCTCTGTACATACATTTCTGGGGGGGATGGAGGGGAGGGACACCGAGTCTAAGGTAGAACTGTTTGGTAGGGTGGTGTATTGGCTAAAGGAAAGCATGCATAATTTATCATTATCATTTAACAGATATATTATTATTTTAATTAAAGAAACATGCAATCAAGCCTCTCTGTATTTTATTGTAATTGAAACTTAGAAGCAAATTCTTGTTTGCAGTGGACCATCTGTTTCTTGGTCCATGGGCACAGCCAAATTTAAGTAATCTTTGGTCAAAAATTGGTCACAGATTATCCAAGCATAAATGATGTGCAATAAATGACTAAAATTAGCTCAGAGTGTGTTTTTGAATTGCCTGGTGCTTACACATGATGCTGGGATTTGTGAAAAGCATTTGTTTTCCGGAAGCTGCCTGGTGCTTGGCTGGAGGCAAGCAATTAAAAGTGTAGATAGAATTGTAATCGTGATTTAAAACACAACATATTGTCTCAGTGCAGTTAGTGGACCAATACATTTTATGAATTAAGAATTAATACCTATCTTTTCATAGTGTATAGGGAGCTAGAGAAATAATCTTATTTGTGATTTCTCTCCCCTATATCAGTCTGCACGGAGGAATGGAGGCATACACTAATCAGCCACAACATTAAACATTGGCGGATCCGGTGGGGCACGGGGCAATGCACGGCAATGCTCCAAAGCTCGCGAGAGTGAACTCTAGCCCTGGAGCTGCCGGTTAGAGTTCACCTCTCCAACACTGGGACCACCAGGGATTCCCCACCGGACCACCAGGGAACAAAATATTCCCCCCTCCTCCCAGTAAAGGTAAGAAGGGAGGGGGGACATAAATATATATATTTTATTAAATACATTTTTGTTTTATTATTAAAAAGCCTCCCTACCCTCCTTCCCCCCCATACAAACACTGCCCCCCCATACACACACTGCCCTACAAACGATGCCCCCGTACACACACTGTCCCCCAATACACACACACACACTGCCCCCCATACACACACTGCACACACAGACACATACAGTGCCCTACACACACTGCTGCCCCCCCATACACACGACCCCCCATACACACACTGCCCCAAAAACACATACAGTGCCCCCATATACACACACACACACACACTCCAACCCTGACATACACTGACACACTCACACACACTCTTCACCCCTAACACACACCACTTCTCCTATGCCCTATATCCCAGCAGACCCCAGGTAAGTTGTCAAACTTTTCTTAAATGGTATGACTACTTACACTGGGGTGGGATCCTGGCACTACTGGCACCATAACAACTACACTGAGCTGTAGTGGTTATTGTGCCTGGATTTATTTATTTAAATAATCTACAAGTGCCCCTCCCGAGATCAGGCTCTGGATCCGCCACTGAACCATTGACCGGTAAAGTGAATAAGATTGAGTATATTGTTACAATGGCACCTGGCAAGGGTTGGGATATATCAGGCTGCAAATGAACCTCATGTGTTGGAAGGAGGAAAAATGGGCACGCAAAAAGATCTGAGTGACTTTGACAAGGGCTAAATAGTGATGGCTAGATGACTGGATCAGAACATCTCCAAAGTGACAAGTGAGGTTAGGTGTTCCCGGTATGCAGTGGTTAGTACCTACCAAAAGTGGTGCAAGGAAGGACAACCAGTAAAGCAGTGTCTGGTCCGATTGCACAGAAGAACTACTGTAGCTCAAATTTATGAAAAACGTCATGCTGGCTATGATAGAAAGGTGCCAGAATATACAGTGCACCGCAATTTGCTGTGTTGCCACAAACGGGTCAGAGTGCCCATGATGACCCCTATCCACCCCTGAAAGAGCCTTTAATAGGGACGTGAGTATCAGAACTGGACCATGGAGCAATGGAAGAAGGATGCTTGGTCTGATGAACCAAGTTTTCTTTTAGATCAGGTGGATGGCAAGGTGTGTGTACGTTGTTTATCTATGGGAAAAGGGCAGACCGGCAGAGGCAGCGTAATCCTCAGGGCAACCTTGGATCCTGCAATTCATGTGGATGTTACTTTGACACGTACCACCCACCAAGAGATAGTTGCAGACCAAGTAACCCCTTTATGGCAATGGTGTTCCCTGATGGCAGTTGCCTCTTTCAGCAGGAAAATGCATCCTGCCAAACTGCAAAATTGTTCAGGAATGGTTTGAGGAACCCCAATGGCGTATTAGGGCTCAGGCCAGCATCCTTTCTGCATCGATTTAGATGGCAGTCTTCTCTGATAATTTTACCTACTACTCGACATTACTCTTGCATCAACTCTGACACCAATCATTATCACTGTCATTATAACGAACTGCCTGTATCCAGAGTGGTACGTTCGTTCGTTCGTTCGAAGTCCTCCCGATTACCGCAAGGTTCCAATGATTATAGCTCTCTATCTCCCGTATGCCCAAACATATGCTGAGACTTGATGAAGGGTACAAAAGTAACTGGATTTATAAGGCCAAGTCACCCAGCACGGGGTCCCTATTCAACACACAGTAAACATGCCCAGACATCTCTGTGTCTGGGAGATAAGTGAGGTTGACTTTGCTTAAACGAATTATCTCCCGGACACATAAGGTACAAAATATAAAACACCCCAAAACATAATGACAACATGTTGAAGCCCCCACATATGCTACATCCCCAGACAGCCCTGATCTGAGTGCCCAAGTTGTCCAAATAGCGCTCAGATCCATGCAGTGTAGCCAGAACGCCACAGAGGAAGAAAGTTTTGACCGACTGCACATGTGGGTGGAGCTAAAATTGTTCCACGGGAATTGTCCTTGTGGTCAGTCAATTGTTAAGAGCTCTTGTTGGGCTCTTCGTGGCTCTCAGGGAGCACCTGGTCACCATAGTCTAGGGTGCCTTCCCTCTAATTACAGCTCTCTTGGCGGGTCAGGAAAGGGGAGAATACATGGGGTAAATGTGACCGAGAAAGTGATGGTAAAGTTGCCAAGAATAGTTCCAGGGGGTTAGTGGCCAGATGCCACTGGTAGCGTTTGGTAGGAACAAAAGAGCCACCATTTGCCAGTGGGGGAGTGTTCAGTATAAGTAAACTACCAAATAGAGGAAATGTAACTTATGAGATGTGCTATGTCCTTAAGGAGGGCCCAGGACCCTGGTTTTACTTGGCACTGCCTAGAGGCTTATTCCCCATCAGGAGAGGGAGAGAAGGGATGGCCGCCTCATACCTGGTGTGGTTACAGACAGCATGATGCACACGGGGAGGTGGGCACAGACCCCACCACTCTCAGAAGTCTAGGCAGCTACCTAGAGATTTATAGGGGAGCTCCGTATTTGTCCTCAATTGT